GTATACACCTACGCCATTGTGATCGATTCTGAGCCATGTCACCTAGAGTCTCCAACCATTGGTTACGATAGTCACGCGGACCCCAACCAGTTAGTCTGCATCTGCCAACATGGCTCAGACTAGAAGTTAGTGACTTCAAACAATGATGCCATGTTTTGGTTTGGTCGCTCCTAACTCTCTTCCAACCGTCCCCATGACTAGTCATCATAGCGCGTCGTGGTAATCGGTGTTCAGGCATACGTAACACATGGCCCAACCATCTCAGTCGATGAAGATTCATCACCTCATCAACTGATTTACCATCGTTCCCTAATACCCTGCGTCTAACCTCACTATTACTTACCCGGTTATAGTGAGGTCATGTTAAATAATATATATATATATATACAATATGATGTAAAATAATATACTGAATAATGTGTTTTCGGAAATTTTTATGAATATAGATTAGAAGGGGTTTTTGTGGAGATTTCAGTATTTTCGTAGTTGAAATCATGAGTTAATTGAAGCTAGACCACCATGGACATTAACACCATTGGATGCCAGCCGGTTCAGTGGTCTAGAGGTTAAGTGCTCCGGGGGCGAGACTGGTAGGTCCTGGGTCCGAATCTCGCGAGTGCGGAATCGTGGATACGCACTGATGAGGAATGAGTCCCGTGGTAGGACGAAACGGACGTTCAGTGCTTCCAGGTTTTCGATGGTGGTCTAGCTTCAATTAACTCATGATTTCAACTATTTTATGAATATGTTTTGTAAGGATAGCTCGTTGGCAAACTCAAGAAAGAATCAAGAAGCCCAGAAAGAGCGGAAGATATTTCATTCAATCACCGTTAGAGGAACATTCTAAACTGTCGACGTATAGCTTTCCTATTGAATGAATGAAGAGAACCTCCCTATGTATCTATTGTCTGACCGAAATGATGATTTACTTTCAACCAGAAAACTATAAATACATGAGAGTTTGGTACTATATTTGACACTGTGTTGGAAATAACATTTCTACTTACTAGTCTTCTCATTTTGCGACTTGAGAGGGTTCTGGCATTAGAGTGTTCAAGTATTACGCGACATACTAAGAATCTAAGTTCGAGATATAACATGTTTCCATGATAGAAGATATTCGACCTTATGCAATGTAGTCTTCACTAGATATCATGTTACTTTGCATTAACCCACCTGAAGGTTAATGAAGGATACTTCATAAATATATATATATATATACTGGGGTGGATTGAGGAGATTAACTATATGCGGAAATAGTATATTACTACTGACTGTGTAATCAGAAGTACAATTGTAACCCAGGGTAGCGGTAAATAAATCCCCAAAATAAATAGTTTTGTAAGTGTACGACAGTACATACTGACCACATTGGTTTTAATGGACTCACTTAGCTGAAGGCGCTCGGTTATGTATCCGCACCAGATCACCAGTGGAAACGCCATGATCAACTTCTCCTCCGATCACTAGCCAGTTTAGATCAGTCACTTCTCGATGTATTGATAATCTATCAAATATATCTTCCAACCGCCTCGCTTCTGACTTTTGATTTCCCTTGGTGGTTTCAATTCATAATAGAAGGTGTTACTGGTTAAAGTGTAATTGACAGGAAAATCCAGGCCCAGGATTTTTCATCAGGAACTATATAAACTTGCGTCTTGTCAATACTAAGTGATCAATCAATGGTAAATATATATCCTACAAGAGATCAGTCATTGGGTGAATAGCTCAGTGGTAATATTTCATCCTTTGTAGTTGAGCAACATGAGTTCAATTCTAAGAGGGAGTATTAGTTCTCTCAAGACTGTTAGTACACCTTGGTAATAAGTCCCAACTAGCACGAAAGGTAGATCTAACCATCTAATATTTGAAATCGATGAATATTGATGACCCCATTTGGGACCTTTAGTTTTCGTCAAGACCATCTTACCGTTTGGATCCATGAGCCAATGTTTAACACGTTGTAGAACTATAAAAATGTAGTTCATTGGTTTTTGTTTTTCGACGGTTGACTGTATGACATCGGCTCACGGCGAAAATCTCTCTCCACAGCAAAGTGTTCATTGTGAACTACTTTCCATTGTTTAAATTGACCTAAACAAAACAAGCCGATCTAGTATAAAAATCCGTATCGGTCCAAAGTCATTAAATGGTCATCAACTAATATAATTCTTATGTAAAATTTCACTAATCCCATTTATTCTCTTTGAAAAATCGTAGATTCACGCTTAATTTTGTTCCAATTACTGTGGGGAAGTAAGATCTAGATTTATGTTTGACATTATGCGATCAATGTTTTCCTATATGATTAAGATTATTTTTTGGAACACTAGCCAAATAATCATCGGAATTCGACAATAGTAAACAATGGAATTTCTAAGTGAAAAATAACAAAAACAGACTGATAAATATAATTTTATATAGTTGAAATCATGAGTTGATCGAAGCTAGACCACTATGGAAAACCTACAAGCACTGGACGGCCGTTTCGTCCGAATGTTAGACTCCTCAGCAGTGCGCATCCACGATCCCGCCTAGCCAGATTCCAACCCAGGACCTATCAGTCTCGCGTGCGAACGCTTAACCACTAGACCACTGAGCCGGTCGGCATCCAACGGTGTTAATGTCTGACTGCAACCAGTCCACGAAGTTGAGCAACCATTCACCAATTGTCTTCAGTGAGTTGATATCTCACAACAAACCTGGTTGACTCATGATTTCAACTATATTAAATTACTAAAATGTCCACAGAACCCCTTCTAATAAAGATAAATATAACTTTGCTACATTGATTGTCGTTAAACGCACAAGACACTTTTGACACATTATACAAACTACTTATAAGTAGCTCAAAATTACTACACCAATAGTCAGCTAATTAAAATGGGTGATGTTATATATATACGACTCTTGTTTTACACTGATAAACTTACCTCGCTTACTGTCTTAGATTTATAATTTGCAATTTTTACAAAAGTTATCCACCTGAAACTTGGCTACTAATTTAGAGCAGTAATTTGCACTTGAACCTATAGAACATGATTTGGGAATTGATCGGAAAAGAATATTGTCAATTCGAAGTTATTTAATTAAACACATAAATATTGGTACAAGGAAGCGCCAGATATATATACCCCGCACAAATCTCATTTGATTTATGTGAAGGCTATGATACTGACCGGGTGCCAGAACCGAACCAAATGGTTTTCCTGGGGGACCACACCCAGAACCTTTGATCTAAAGGTCTGACCCACAATGCAGTGGAGAATCGTGAGGAGATGCAGTCCCATGGTAGCCGGTCACCAACGATTGATCCATACACCATTTGTTTCCTTAGGATACTGGAACCCATGTGCACCATTGGTTTGGAATGAGGGTTTCCCAACTTCCCTAGGTGAACTTTCCGTGTTCACCAACCCGGTTAAAGTGCCGGAAATTCGCTTTTCGTTCTCTCAATTTCGTAAACAACAGTAATGACACGAGAAGACAGTGAGGATTTTCATGGCAGAGGGTGTATACGCGTGATCATGTGAGAGCATTTCGAGAAGGAGAGCGGAGTCTCCCCACTCTCAGCCGTACCAGGGCATTCGGGGGCAAATTTTCTGCGGGCAATTTGAAACTAATCTGATTTCGGTATTCAATGTGAAAAAAGTTATTAATGTTATTTATAAGTTTGATTATTCATTTGGTAAATGAAAAGAAATTAATAAGAACAATATCATGTTCATCTAGTCTTTTAGTGTTTGCTGAATGCTTCCAAGTTGCAGTGTACCTACTAGTTTAAGTGACTCGACAGGAAATTCTGATTAGCCCACTTTTTGTGCTATTTAGCGTTTACCAGCAAGCTTTAACTGTAATTTTGAAGGAATTGATGCCACCAGTGAGATTAACTTTGTTGTTTTCATTCTACATATGTGTTGTCATGATATGGGTCGATAAGTAACACATTCGTACAAGGTTCTACATTGACTCTACACTGACTGACTGTCTGATAAAATTAGTTCTAATTTTAAAATTTGATGATAATCTATACAGTAGAGTGATACAAACAACACCATTCTAAATAGGCATGTTAAAATAGTTTGAGATATCCTCAGATACAGGTGTTTCAGTGTTTTGAACGTTCCACTTGCAACCATCACTAATTATTATCAGAAAGAGGTTTTTGTGGAGATTTAGTATTTTCATAGTTGAAAGCGTGAGTCAATCAAAGCTAGACCACCAGGGAAAACCTCGAAGCACTGGATGGTCGTTTCGTCCTATTGTGGAACTCCTCAGCAGTGCGCATCCACGATCCCGCACTCGCGAGATTCAAACCCAGAACTTACTAGTCTCGCGCCAGAGTACTTAAGTGATAGATCACTGAGCCGGCATACATGGTGTTAATGTCTGACTGCAACCAATCAACGAAGTTGAGCAATCATTCACCAATTGTCTTCAGTGAGTTGATAACTCAGAACGGACGTGGTTTGAACTCCACTGGTCACTGCATCTCACTAGAACTCCTGGATTTACCTCTCGAAGTCAGTCACTAGTGAGCATATGATTATTATTATCAGAAAGGGGTTTTTGTGGAGATTTAGTATTTTGGTAAGTTGAAAGTTCTGTATCTACTCCACCTATTTCAACTTCAGTTAGTAGGTGAGTATCTCTAGCTCTCACGATTCGAGTATAGCTTAAAGTCCAATAGTACACAAAGTTGTACTAAGTAATTAAGAACCGTTGAATAAATGGACAACTACTAATAGTCTTATATCAATTGAAATCTTAATTCAAACGGGGGGGGGGTTAAATTTTAGGAAGTTCAATGCGTACTACTGAGGAGTCCCACAATAGGACGAAACGGCCGTCCAGTACTTCCAGGTTTTCGATAGTGGTCTAGCTTCAATTGACTCGCACTTTCAACTACGCAAATGCTAAATCTCCACAAAACCCCTTCTGATAATTAATAAAAACTAAACATGACAATAAGATAGAAAATACTATAAAGACAAAGAAGACACAAGAGTAAAACACATTTATTCATGTATATAAAACAATAAGCTGAGAAGAAAAAAATCATTCCCTAGGTGTTTGACGCCATAACTTCAAATCATTTTCTAAGTAGTACCATTTTGATGTAGATCCTAATGAATTAGTCAAAAGTCGATCTATAATGAGTTGAGATGTATTCAAAGCAAGATTTTTGTATTCAGATTGATTTTGACCTTCATTTGACAATTGTTGTATTTCTGGTACGAATTCAATCTGATGGGTGTGCATAAAGACAAAGAGAAAGAGAGAGGTAAACATGTTGATTAGAACACTTCAGGTAAGCATATCACATCAACAGCCGACGATATTTATTTATTTATTTAAACACATAAATATTGGTACAAGGAAGCGCCAGATATATATATCCCGCACAAATCTCATTTGATTTATGTGAAGGCTATGATACTGACCGGGTGCCAGAACCGAACCAAATGGTTTTCCTGGGGGACCACACCCAGAACCTTTGATCTAAAGGTCTGACCCACAATGCAGTGGAGAATCGTGAGGAGATGCAGTCCCATGGTAGCCGGTCACCAACGATTGATCCATACACCATTTGTTTCCTTAGGATACTGGAACCCATGTGCACCATTGGTTTGGAATGAGGGTTTCCCAACTTCCCTAGGTGAACTTTCCGTGTTCACCAACCCGGTTAAAGTGCCGGAAATTCGCTTTTCGTTCTCTCAATTTCGTAAACAACAGTAATGACACGAGAAGACAGTGAGGATTTTCATGGCAGAGGCTGTATACGCGTGACCATGTGAGAGCATTTCGAGACCAACATTTAGAGAAGTTGAGTGACATAACTAAAAATCGGTCCCAATAGAGCAGATGTATTTCCTGTTTGTGGTACACGAGATCTTGAGTTTCAAAATTATTTTACACTTTTCAATTTTATGACTTCATATCACTTTTCATATCAAATTATCTATGCTTGATCTTTTCTACTATTACTACTGCTATCAATCTGATAATCATTTTGATAATGTCATCAAACTGCTGATCTAGTGAGGTAACTAGTACCAATGCAAAATATGTTCAAGTTTTAAGTTGCTTATGGTTGACTGAATTTCGTCAACTCAACATTAAAAACAATTGTCAACCAACACTAAGATCAGAATTTTCAATACAGATGTCAAGACAGTTCTACTGTATGGGGCGGAGACGTGGAGAACTACGAAAGCCATCATCCAGAATATACAGATGTTTATTAACAGTTTTCTACGCAAGATACTTCGGATCCGTTGACCAGACACTATCAACAACATGTTACTGTAGGAGACAACAAACCAGATTTCAGTGGAGAAAGAAGTGGTGGAAGTGGATAGGGCAAACTTTGAGGAAATCACCCTACTGCGTCACAAGACAAGCCCTCACATGGAATCCCGAAGGTCAGAGGAGAAGAGGAATACCAAAAAACACATTACGCGGAGAAGTGGAGACAGACATGAGAAGAATGAACAAAAGTTGATTAAAACTAGAAAGGAAGGCCGATGACAGAGTGGGTTGGAGAATGCTGGTCAGCGGCCTATGCTCCTTCACGAGGGGTAACAGGCGTAAGTAAGTAAGTAATTAAGGATTAATTCATAAAACTAACCTCATTGAATACAGTATTTCTTGATCTTTCAATAAACTTTAAACGATTTTGAAAAAGATTTATACTTGATTGATTAGTCATTGATACTTTAGCTACAATTGAATTTAATTTCATTGGCAAATTTCTACCAGAATATTCAAGAATACCAGCTAATGCTTCAGCTGCTAAACCTTGACCACGATATTTTGATTCAGCAATCATAACAGATAATTCACCTGAAATATTAAATATATACAAACTACATGATGTATAATATATTTAGAGGGGATTTTGTGGAGATTTCAGTATTTTCATAGTTGAAAGCATGAGTCAATTGAAGCTAGACAACCAAGGAAAACTTGGAAGCACTGGACGGCCATTTCGTCCTATTGTGGGACTCCTCAGCAGTGCGCATCCATGATTCCACCTCAAGAGATTCGAACCCAGGACCAACCAGTCTCGCGCCGGAGCACTTAACCGATAGACCACTGAGTCGGCATCTCGCGAGGTGAGATCATGGATGCGCACAGCTGAAGGGTCCCGCAATAGGATGAAACGGCCGTCCAGTGCTTCCATGGTGGTTTAGCTTCTATTGACTCTTGCTTTCAAATATTAAAATACAAAATATTTGGAAAGAGGAAGAAGAAGAAAGTAACAACATTGAAAATAGAATCTCTTCATGATATGTCTTGCTGATTGAACGCTATACTCGGATTCTAAGCTAGTCTCGTATCCCCAAGCTAGAACTACACAGCGACTTGAACACGAAAGAAAAGGTGCAAAATATACAAGAAGCACTTTACTCCAAAGGTTCATTCATTTCAGAAAATATAGGGTTTTTATAGTATTTTAGAAGTTCTTGGGTATTCCCGAAAATTCTGGAATGCTACTATACATAGCGGCAGTATATTAATCAGCCAATCGGAACCTCTACATGTGACTTTTCATTTTCGGGATATTTCTATTAAAGCTTTTGGTCAAACGCTGATTGGATAAAAAGGCTTATTAATGTTTCCTGAGCTTGTCAAGTCGATTGTGAGAGATTTTCAGGATTGCCCCAACACTTCAGTAAAGATTTGCAGTCATTTTTATGACTTATTTAATTGATAAAATGGATAGCAACAAATAACACAGGAAAGATTTAGATCAATTACCTAATACTGTACGAAACTCTCTATTTCATCTATATCGGTTTGAATAGTATAACTATCTCTAATAAAAGGAAGTGTAAATAGTGTCTCAAAATACTTAGCTCCTTAGATATTAGAGGGTGGCCTTACTGGTATTAATGAAATAAGCTAGCTGCAGATATGTGGTTAAATATCAACGTTGTATTATGTTACCTAGTACACATTTAAACTGCTGTTCAATCTCCCATCTAACCAGTTATAAACAATCTAATATATTTTTGCTCTTGAATATACAGATTGTTCTCTTCAGACTTTTAGTATCTTCATCTTTGTTCATGATTGACTGAACGTATACACAAGATCAGGGTACAACACATCAAAGGTCATCAACTGTCAGCTTGAATGATGTAGCTGGTTTCCTATTTCGTGGTTGCAATCTATGATAGAGTTGTAAATCTATATTTAGCGGCTCTGTAGATGATACAGTTCAACTTTTAACATTACTGTATACTTATTATTTCAGATTAAATTTACTCTTCTTTAAACTATATATCCTATGGTTGATTGCCCATAGTCAGTGATATTATCAATTTGACAATCTTATATTTCATGGTGTCAATACTCTCTTTATTTTCATCGTAAGAGTAGGTTAGAAGTTAGCTAGGGGCGGCCAGACGAAAAACGTGGCACAAATCCATGAAGTCACTCATAAGTGGACTGAGTCATGCTGGTAGGTGTAGACTACCTGGTTGGGATCCGCGAGATGATAGCAATCGATGCTTAAAGACCTTGAATGACATGGCTGAAAATCGTTTACAATGGCGTGGATGCATCCACACTTTGTGTTCTCCCAAATTTTTATCTTCTGAATTCGCCATGTCTCTATCTTTTTTTCTCTTTCCAAATTTATTTCGCTGGATTATACTCCTTGAATAACATTTTCAAACCCTAATCTTTCCGTTTACTGTTTATACTTTTACTACTTCTGTAGTGTGGTCTACTTATATCCATATAAGTAGTATATGGTAATGGCTAGACATAGAATGTATTTTGGCGGAAGATCGACAACGAAAGAACTGAAATGAAGCGCAGTTGGTAGGAAAATGTATGAACAGTGGAATTAGAGAAGATGAACTAATATTTACAGAAGGAACAGTGAAGATTAAGACAATTGGTTGTTATTTTGCAAATTAACTATTTGCTGTATGGTTATCAGAATTTAGTGAGATAGTCTGTAATTTGTGCTTAAATACATCCGATTGTCCCCACTCGTGTTCTCGTTTACTACACTTCTACTACTATGGAATTTGAATCGACAACTATATCTCTGTGTTAATGTCGTATGGCGACTCGAACTGATGTACGTACGTACGAAGTTCTACGTTGTGACTAATTGACTTTATCATCATATAAAGTGTGAGAAGTTGAATCTGACAGATATAATATGTGAGTGAAAGATACAATGACTGCAATATTTCACTTTACAATAGGTCAAGAGTAAATAGATAAGTAATAAGCACTTTCATTACCTTCATAATCATTGATAGTATGAGAATATGTAATAAATAAATTAATATCACCAATCATAGAATAGATTTCTGCATTTTCATGAATATTCAATTGTGATTCATCCGATTCAACTTTAATATTATTCAATGACCAATAGTCTTGATATAATTGTTTACTAAGTAAAATAAATGTCAATCGATCATCTAAGTTACACCATTGTTCTTGTGCTTCGAATTCCTTCGGTGTAGAATAAGGTTTTTTCGAAATAAGAGATCAGATATTTTCAAAGAAAAACAACAAATATATATATATATATCAGAAGGGGTTTGGTGGAGATTTTAGTAATTTTATAGAGTTGAGATCATGAATCAATGATTGATCGGTTGAAGTTAGACATTAACACCGTTGGATGCCGGCTAAGTGGTCTATCGGTTAAGTGCTCTGGCGCAAGACTGGTAGGTTCTGGGTTCAAATCTTTCTCGTGAGGCGGGATCATAGATGCGCATTACTGAGGAGTCCCACAATAGGACGAAACGGCTGTTCAGTGCTTCCAGGTTTTCCTTGGTGATCTAGCTTCAACTGACTCATGATATCAACTCTATGAATATATATGTGTATATATAAACTTCAGACAGTGTATGTAATCTATTTACCACATTTCTATACATGATTATGAATAAAGGGGGTGCCGTCGAGTTCTTGAACTACCGAACAAACGCTTCAATTTATGACATAAACTATACACAACCAGATGCAGATGGTACATATATACGACCAATTCACTAGATTCTTTAGTGTGGAGTCAAATGACAATAAGTCATACACAACCACTTTAGAACCTTTCTGTTGACGCTTCGTACATCATTACAGTTGATTTACAGAAACTATCCCTGTTAGTTTATATTACAACACGGTTAACACTTTTGAGTAGCAACAATACAAGTTTCATTATGATTGTCCTCATTTCTAGTTTCCCATCTTCTAAGGATGAATATTGTAGTTGTCCCCGTTGGTTAAGTGGGCTAAAGGTAATCATTTGTTGATAATTCAAGTTCATACTATGTAACTATCGAAATACAAATGTCTTTAAGTCAATCATAAGCCCGAGATACTGTTGTCGATTGAAATTTTCTTACACAATAACTGTTTTTTTCTCCATACCATGACCGTGAACCGAATTAAAAGTGGATTAAAGTCATGATTGGGCTAAAAGCAGTGATGTGGGACTTATAATCACTTTTTTTCAATGTCTTAATAATTAACTTAGAGATAAGGACTAAATATTTGTACCACATTAATCAAGAAGCGTTATAAAGTATCTCCAGGACTTGTGAGTTAGCTATTAGTCATTATGAAGGCATTTATGACATCTTAAGTCAGTCACAACGTAGAACTTAGTACGTATCTACATCAGTTCGAGTTGCAATGCCATATTAGCACAGAGATACAATTGTGATTCAAATCACATAGTGGTAGAGGTGATAAAAGTATAAGCAGTAATCGGAAAGATTAGGGATTGAAAATGTTATTCCAGGAACATAGTCCAGTGAAATAGATTCGGAAAGAGAAAAAAAGGACGTGAAGAGTTCAGAAGATAAGAATTTGGGAGAACACAAAGAATATAAACACCTACGGATATCTTGCCTACGCCATAAATGATGCAAGTTGGCAAAAACTAGACGAGCCTTCTGTATCCGTGCTGAGATTTCGTCACACACCAGACCACAAGAGCTGATGAGACTCACAAGATAAGTGAAGCTGTCAACACGCTCAACTATTTCACTCCCTATCATTAGTTCAGGTGTCGATGCAACCCAATCCTGAAGTAATATTTTGCATTTTGAGGGGGAGAATTGCATCCCGAACATGCCTGCATTGTTGCTTATAGTGGTCAGAAGACTCCGCATTTTGTCAGTGTCTTCACCAAATAGAACTATGTCATCGTCATATTCTAAGTCAACAAGTGAATCTCCCGGTAGAAGTCCAACCCCGCTAAATTTAGGTGAGAAAAGTTTTATTTCTAAAAGTATGTCAACGACAAAGTTAAGCAAGAATGGAGGGAGTGGACATCCCTGATGAACTCCATTTTAGGTAATGAATTCTGATGAAAGTTCTCCATGAACTCTAACTCGGCCAGTTATGTTCGAGTATAAAGCCTTTATAAGGTTAATGACCTTCTTTCAGTGACAAAGACTACCATAGAACCTCACCATCAACAGAGTCAAATGCCACCTTCAGGTCGAGAAATTCTATTACTGTGGGACGTCCGAATGTATGTCTATGTTCTAGGACCTGACGTAGTGTGAATATCTGGTCTATACAACCACGTTCAGGTAGAAAACCAGCCTGGTTTTCTCTAATCTGCTTTTCACCAGCTTTAGTTAGGTGTTGAAGTGTTCTTAAAGCTAATATTTCAGACACTATATTAGTCAAACTGATTCCTCTGTGATTGTCACAGGAGGACTTTTGTCCTTTCTTATAGATTGAAACAATCAGTGATCGGGACCAGTCAGATGGAATTACATCCAGTTCCCAGATTCTAAGTAAAAACTCAGTCAATCTCGCTGTTAGTACTGGACCACCATCCTTAGAAACCT